TTATTCATTATTGCTCTTGTTCATTTCTTGCTAAATTTATCCCTATCATCTTGTTCGCACCTACTATAAATGGTGCCATTTTTCCTTTATAGTTTCTTCTGGTTGTTATGTGTATCTATGAAAGTTATTGATTTCTGTATATTAACTTTGCGCCCTATCACTTCATGGAGTTCACTGATTGTTTCTAGCAGCACTTCAACTCAGTTCTCCTGAGGTTTGCACATCTACAACCACAGAGGTTCAAACGGGGATCATGCTCCTACTCTTCCGTTGTGTGCCATTAATTTCTTTCTCTTCTTGTTGGTTAATAGCTTCGGTAGACGTTAAGTAGTGGAGGGAGAATGGGCATCATGGTCGTGTCCCTGAGTACAGTTGAAATTCTGCAAATGTTTGCTCATCAAGCATGATGCTGTGTGTGTGTGTGTGTGTGTGTGTGTTTGTGTGAGTGCGAGTGTTTGAACAAAAATAACATTGGAAAAATCCACCTATGCTATTTTGCTGAGTTTTTATCAAAAGTGGTTCTTGGATTTTGTCAGATGGTTTCTTAGATGTTGTCTATAAACATATTTTTGTAGTGCATTTTAATTTTTTGGATATAATCAATTGTTATATTTGTGAGATAAACCCACCTTGTAGTGCTTGTTGTTATTCTTCTCTAGTGCTTAGTGGTCAATATTTTCAATAGTCTTTACATCATATGTTGTTTAAAGGTCTGCCTTTAAAGCTTCTACAAAATGAACTGGGTTTTGTGCTTTGGTTGAAAGGGAGATCTTTGATCAGTTTTCTATTTATTCCATAAAAAATCAGTAAATTTACAATCTCTGTGACTATTTTTCTAAACCTACAGGATCCTAGTTTTCCTCTCAATAATAATTTGGGGAGGGGGGTAAAATGAGGCAGGGGTGGATGACCAGGAACCAACATGCAGTTGAGTCCTGTTTCTATACCTGTTTGTATCTCGGTGATGATTGTAGCATCACCGCCATTGGGGCCACTCCCGGTCCCCTTACTGGGACCAGCCCATACTAGGCAGTGAGAACAGCTCAACCCTGTCACTCAAACCAGACCAACTGTGCATCCTGCATATTCCAGAGTATTCTATTCAATCACCTTGAAGCCAGATTCAGGAAACCTCCTCTTTGCTTTCCCCCAGTCTAGCTTAGTTCCCCGACTTTCTTCCATGGCCCTACAGGGAGAACTCAGACAATAAACCACTGCCTGAGAATACAGGACTCAGCCTCTGCTTCCAGGAGGCAGGGCAGGAAGCCACCACCCTCCCCCTCCACTCTCCTTCCCTCCTCTCCCTCTGTCTCTCCCATGTCAGTGATAGTGGGTGTGTAGCACTTTCCTGGTGTTTATCACACAGTATCTTATTTTGTAGACACTTCTGTCGAAGGTTAGGGCTGTCTGTACTAGCTTAGTGTCTCCTATTACTTAGTGTGGTGCTGGCACATAGAAGGTGGGATTAATGAAAAGTGAATAAGCAAATAATGCCCTTTTTAAGCCACATAATTGTGTTGAATATGACAGAGCTTGGAGTCAAGCAGAGTTGAGGATTAATGAGGGGTGAAAGGAAAGCTTTTTTTTCTGCAGCAGTAATTTCCATAGAAGCAAAAGAGGAGACTAAGAACCTCAAGAGAAAGCGGTACCAATTCTTAAATCACTGTCACACTGCATGAGCCCCAGACACCTAAATAGGGAAAACTTAAGAAATAATTATAAATGTTATTTTCTGTCACTCTAAATACCTGCTTTAATTAAGGTGGATTCTGAAAAAATAAAAAGATTTTTCCACCAAAATGGCTTCGTCATTAGCTATTTGTCAGCAGTGAATAGGTCACCTGATAACTTAGTGAGAATGTGGCTCCTGGCGCTGGCTCGCCCTCAGCCCATGTCACAAGGTTCTGCTGACAGAGGTTCTCACGGCACCTGGAGAACAGTCCCAATGGGGAGCTGGGGCCCAGCACCTGTGGGACAGCCCTGCTAGGTAGTGCTGGGACAGGGCCCTGGACCCTGCAGAAAGACAAACAGCTGTGGTTTGAGATACTTTTACACATTTTAGTCACTCATGGGTTAAAAAAAAAAAAAAAGCCTCTAGGGATTTCACTCTATTCTATGCTCACTTTTCATAAAACAAGATGATAGCTTTCAGATGGCAGAAAAGTTACGTGGCCCCTTGTTTCCTGAACCTGCTCAGCAGAGGGGGACCAGATGGCCACTCAATCAGAACCCCAGGCGTGTTTCAGGGTTGCAGAAATGGAGCCCAGGAAGGAGCTAGGAAGGGGACAGGCAATAACTGCCCTCATTGGCCATCGTGTGGTCTGTTCCACCTGCTGGTCTCTGACGACAGTGTTCCCCCTTTCCTCATATGCAGGACCATTCTCCCCTTTTTGTCCTCCTTGCTCCCCCATTTTATCTTAAGAAGCTCCACATGTTGGGGTGGATAGCAAGGGGCGTGGGCAGATGGATGTCACTCAATCTTCAAAGTTACCTTTTCAATATAGGAAGCTTCTTGTCTGAGCAGCAAATATGGATGATTACATGCTCAGCACTGTTGGGCATTTGGGAAAGAGATTTAATTTTAAAAGCTTCACCTAGTGAGTTCTGGATGCCTACATCAGCTCTTTTCTTCTTTTTTAAGATTTGTTTATGCATACATATCTGGGGTACAGGCCAGAGGTACAGGGGCTGTGAGAAGCTTCACCAGAGACAGAGTGGGGAGCAGAACAGGCAGATCGACAAAGTACACTCCTGAGGGGAGCAGCAAGCAGGTCAGGTGAGGTCTGCTGAGCCATGTGGGTCACCTCCGGGGCCAGGGATTGAACTCGCACTGAAGCAGCTGCAGCTAGCTTGCAGTGCTGCATTCTAACCCGTTGCACCACCAGGGAGGGCCTATATTAGCCCTTTAGAGAGTGGCCCCAAGCACTAGACAGAATGGCATGACCGCTGATGACCTGTGCCGCAATGCTGACCACACCAGCATATCTGGAACCAGTGAGCATGTGTTCAAAGTGCAACAGGGTGTCCTGGTGCAACCTGGCAAGCCCAACTTGTTCATCAGCAACACTGCTGGCTGCACCAGCCAGCCTACCCAGTAACATACTTCTTAGGAGATTTCGTGGAAATTCTGGTTCCTACCCTAAAGAAATTTGACACTTAAGTGAAGAACATACCTCCTCTCCTAGATACCAAATACCTGTCAGTGCAGGAGGAAGGCTTTTCTAGAACCTCCTTGAATAGAGCTGATGGCCTTTACATTAAAAGACAGTAATTCTGGGGCTTTTTCTTGAGTTTCTTCTGTTTCACTTGCAGAAAATATCACTTTTGCTGGTGAGACCCCTTTGACTTTATCAAAATTAGCTCAGTTCTGTGAAAAATAGGCATCTCTGTCTTCAGTGGTGGTTTTCTGGTGGGAAAAGGGAAATGTGAGGCTGATAAAGGAGATAATAGTGAAGGAGCTGGGGGAGGACCAGCATCTTCATCCGTTGGTGGGTACTAGACAGGAGAGATTCTAAAAAAAGCCTTTTCAGTGGAAACTGCTCTCACCATTGCAAAGAGCTCCCATCGTCCCCATAACTGGGACCCTCTGGGAGAGTTCCACTCTGGGCCTCACTTGACTAATGGACTCTTGAGCAATTATGATACGGGAGCAAACTGAAACCTCATCTCCTAATTCTTACAACAGATGCATGGGATCGCGCGTGCGCAGGCTTTCTGGGCCTCATGCAGCTGCCGTCCTGACACCCTACAGCTCAGGGAGGATGGCTAAGCTGCTTCCCTATGCTCCTCCTGAGCTGTGAGGCTTCAGAGCCTCTTAGAAACATTGGGTGCCTGATGCAACAGGAGGCATCACTACCAGCGTCTCCTCTCCATCTGCCCTATGACGTTAGGGGAAACGGAAAGCCAATGCTGTTGAATCAGAAACTGTGCACATTTTCACTGCTGTTGTACATAGTGTGTGGTTGCAAGTTTCAGACAGCAGAAAACCCATATCTTGGGCTCTGCTGCTGGAATGAGGCTGAGCAGCCATGACAGCGGGGGTCCAGCGGCTGCTGGCCTAGCGTAGGAATAACTGGGGAAGGGGCTGTGTCCTCCCAAGCCCTGGGATCCTGGCATGATCCATGAAATTCAGTTCTGTACCAGGGCACGGGGCCAGTGTTCTCTGCGTGATTTCAAGACACTGGTGTTAGAAGGACACTGGCAGAGTATCTTGATAACTCTGAGAGACAACTAAGTCCATGCAGGCAGCACAGATTCTGCGGGTGCCCAGCTGTCACAGGCAGCTCTTCCCAAGCCCTGGCCAATGCTACAGATCAATGGGGCCCAGCCAGGGTCGTGGGGTCCTTGCCTGCTTATACCACCGCCCCTTCTGTCCTGGGCACAGAACATTTCCACCAGTCAATCTTTCAGTCAAGATGCAATTTTCTCAACCCAGAGGAAGGTGTGTGAGCAGCTGGATTTTGGGGGTTCAGCCCAGATCATTACAGAGCAACCAGGGTAAGGCCTCTGCATACTTCCCTTTGGATTTGTAGCAACACGCAGCAGGCTTGAGCAACCTGTCTCTTGGTCTGGGCTCGTGTCTTGGCCCATGTGGCTTGTTTGGTGTGAGAGCATACTTATCTCTTTCAGGACACTACGTAAGCAGGTGGCCAATTGCAAACTCCTGAGGCCCCAGAGGCAGAAAGGCAAACCTCAGCTGAAACCATGACCACACTCAGGGTGACCTCTGGCCTTGGATGTAGGAATGAGCACTTCTCCTGAGAGCCTGTTTAAACAGTCACCAAACAAGGTGGCAAAAAAACCAAAGCTCCTGTCCCTAAGAAAACCCACTGGCTGGGTGATGCTCATTGTTTGAGCTTCTGGTTGTTAATTTGAGGTTGACAATGAACCCCGAGCTTAGATCTCCAGAGTGGACATGGCGGGGCTGGGCCCTCTTCCTCTGGCCCCAGCCCCCCAGCACCAGGAGATGGTGTGGTGTTCTGACACTTCTCTGTTCCCAGGCTTGGACGTCAGGCAAGCCCAAGTGGTCGTCCTGTCCTCGGGCACCAAGTGCATCAGCGGAGAGTACATCAATGACCAGGGGCTGGTGGTCAACGATGGCCACGCAGAGGTCATGGCCAGGAGAGCACTGGTTCACTTCCTGTACGCACAGCTAGAGCTACACCTGAGGTGAGTGCCCACAGTCTGGCCCAAGTTGGGGCAAGTGACCCACAAACATACCCAGGGCAAACTCTCTGCAGCCAGGGTCACTCTGCTCCTGAAAGATACACATGCATTCAGAGGGCTGTGGCCTTCGCCATTCATGCAGGCTGCTCAAATACCAAAACCCCTCATGTTCTCAGGCCTCCCTCCAGAAAGCTTCCACTTGCCATGAGTGCCAACTTTAGGCAGATGGCAAGGTACACACATGTCCTATGTCATGTCACACGTCAATTCCATTTTCTATTAAAATGTTCAGGGGTATCTTAACCATCTGAGGATGGGGCATAACAAACCCCCCCACCCAGAAGCTGGGGGCTTAACGCAGAATCACTAATTTGAGGGTGCACAGTTCCAAACGCTGACGGTAAAGTTCAGGGAGCAAGGCCAGGCTCTGGTAAGGATCCTGGTGCCAGTTCACAGACACCATCCTGTTCCAGGGCTCATGGGGCAGAGGAGCCCAGGGAGCTCTTGGAAGTCCTTCACACAGGCACTAAGCCAATCCATGAGGCTGCACACTCATGACCTGATCACATCCCATTAGGCCCCACCTCCTAACACCACCACACTCGAGCCCATAGCTTGAGTCAATAAAAGACATCATTTCCCTACAACTCAACACACCACAAGGAGCAGCGAGAGCAACGCTCTCCTCACAGCCAGAGTGTCTGCACCTTGGAACTGGGGAGACCATACAGAAAGAGGGGGTGACTACAGTACCCATGCCCACATGCAATCAGCTCTCAGACAGGCAGGTTCCCCGCTCATCCTGAACACCAAAGACCAGGAAAGGGGAACCAGCCAGCAGAACTCAAAGTCACCCTCTCCCAGGGCAGTCCCTCAGTCTGGCCTCAACTATGCCTTCCTGTGAGTCTAATTCCAGAACAATTCATATCTTTAAAAGGAGAAAGAAGGGTTCTCCTTGGTGGCGCAACACGTTAAAGCACTGCATATGAAACTCTTGGAAGTCACTGCAGCACGAGTTCTATCCCCGGCCAGGGAGCTGACCCACATGGCGTGGCAGACCTGCCTGCTGCTGACCTCGCCTGACCTGCCTGCTGCTCTCCTCAGCAGTGTACTTCAACAGTCAGCCTATTCTGCTCCCCACACCACTCTGTCTCTGGTGAATCCTCTCACCCACCATACCTCTGACCTATACCCCAGTTCTATAAGCATAAATAAATAAATCTTAAAAAAAAAAAAAGGGGGGGGGTGGAGGGAGAAAAGGAAAGTGTTAGAAAAAAATCTGTTCTCTCAGGAGAAGGAGTGAGGGTTTTCTGACGTACACAGGGGATGAGAGGGGCTTGGTCACAGTGTCATCACCTGGACCACAGCTACCAGCTCCCTGGGAACTTGCACTTCAGCCCTAGAGAAGTGCTGCTGACAGTCACATCTTTGCTCAATGAATGGCTCCCATCTTCAGTATTTCCAACAGCTGACTGCCTCTGACCACGAAAAGAATTGAAGAACCAAGTGCCTCCGTGCCCTTATCAGTGTACTGTTCTAGGAATTTCTCAGCCTAGAAACTTCCTGCAGTGTGCAGATTTCTGCAAAATGATGGAGTTTCCTCCAAATACCAGGTGGCTGGGCAGCCAGCAGTTTGGATCTCTCCCTCAGACCCCACCCTGTACCCTCCCAGTCTACACCATCCTGGGGCCCCAGAGCCCCAGGATAAGCCCCGGGCCACCCAATCAGTCCCTAGCAGGCAGCACTGAACATATGGGAAGCCAGATCTGGGCCAACCCCCAGTCCTCTCCTTAAGTGTTCCATCTCCCGGGCTAGCTGGTCCCCAGGAAGTATTAGTGATCGGCTATGAGATGTCATCTTTTTTCACCTCCTTTATCAAGGGTGTTCTGAATGGAAAAGACTGTTTAGGCCCTGAAGTGTTGGAACACCTGTATTCTGCCAGCCTACCCTGGCAGCTGGCTGTCACCAGAAAGCTCTTCCTGTGAGACACTAAATGGCAGCAGACTGATGGGGGCTTGGGGCAGGGTGACTGTGACAAGCCCTGACACACCTGCACCCAGCTGCTTGCTCTTGGGTGCATCTTCCCATTCTCCCTTTGTTCCCAGAAGCAGCGCTCTCCAAACCAACCATAATGGGATCTTGGCGGCTTCAGTGGGTGACTGACTCGTGCCATTGACATAAACAATGGCCACACAGAAGGACACCTAGAAAACTCTCATAAAAGTGATGCCTTAATATTTGTATCTGAGCCCCTGACTGCTCGCAGCAGCCACCTCCTCAGCTGCAAGGCTGGCAAGGATGCAGCCAGCACTGAACACAGGGAACAGACCTCTCAAAATCTGGAGAAGGTCTTTGCTAAATATCCCACTGCTCACTCCCAAGCATTCCAAATGCCCTAGACTCTTTTCTGTGACTCGAGAGCACTGAGTCAGCTGTGTCTGGACACCATCTGCTGACTCGAGGGGCCAAGGACCAAGACTGCAGGACACCCAGGCCTGGGGTGCACTGTGGGGAGGGACCCTGAGGATGTGCCTCGGGGGTTAGGGGAGAGGGCCGGGAGTGGAGAAGAGGACTAGCAGCAGAAGGAACAATAGCACAGAAGCGGAAAGGCTGGCAGGCGCCTTCGGGTTCCTGGGGAGAAAATGTCTGTTCAGCTGCCTGTGTGCTCTCGGGACCCAGCAAAGCAGAATCCATCAGCACTGGGGCAGAACGTGTGGAAACAGCAGAGGCCAGAAGGAGGCAGCCAGGACTGGTGAGACGGGGTCTTCAGTGCCCAGTGGAACACAGATGGGTCTCCCAGTCGGAGTTTAAGGACTGCGGAGGTTTCCAAGTTCAGGGAACTGAACCCCTTAAAACATGTGGGGGAGACACGCTTAATCCAGACACTCCCTTTGGTCATGGCCGGGTGCAGAACAGCAGGCATACGCATGTAGATTCCTTGCAGGCTGGCAGCCAAGCGCTACCCCATTTCAAGGCCCATTTCTCCTTTTAATACAGAAATGGGTCGCCCGCTGGGGCCATGTAGAACCCTGAAGAGTGCTGTGAAGCGCAGGGCTACAGTTTATACATACCTGGGTACAGGTGAGTAGCAGCTGCACAACTGGCTTGGTGAAAGTTCTCCCTAAAATGTCAAGTTAGGGAGGAATGAGAGGGTCGGGTTCCGGCCGCTCATCTTTGCTTTGATGCAGTTCTATTGCTACTGGCTCTAGAAGTTTCCTTGCAAGAAGAATACATAATGGGGTAGATGAAGAGGAAAAAAAGTTGAGGATCCATGACACAGAACAGAACAAATTGGAATGTTTCTGGTTTGGTTGGTAATAAATGGCCTGGACCCTCTTTCTGACCCTAGCAAGCGGAGAGAGGACTCAGAGTGCTCCATATTTGTGCGGCTAAAGGAGGGGGGCTACAGGCTGAGAGAGAACATCCTGTTCCACCTCTACGTGAGCACATCCCCCTGCGGAGACGCCAGGCTCAACTCGCCCTACGAGATCACAACAGACCGTAAGAGACGGCGTTTCTACCTTTTGTCAACAACAGCTCTTTGCTCTCCTCTACCTGGGGCGGAGAATGGCGTCTGGGCTGGGTGGCTGCATGTGGGCGTGTCTGCAATTACGTGCATGATCATACTTCTGTTAGTCTGAAATGCCCGGATCCCTGGAAGCACCGTGGCTTGAGGTCTAAAATTAGCTATCAAGAGCCACGCTGGCCACATCATAAGTCACGGCCCCTCCATCCCAAAGAAGAGTAGCATGAAGGGCAGGAAGTGAGAATTAGCGGCATGGGAAAAGTCCAAGCCGGCCTGGCTGGCCTTTGCTTGCCAACTGTGGGGCAAAGAAAACAGTGGTGGGGGGTGTCCGTCTCCCCCAGTCAAGTCACAAAGTGCCATGTTGTACCCCTTGGGGGGCACCTGTTGAAAGCATGCTGGCCCTTCACCGGGGGTTATTCTGTCCCCAGAGAGACGACCCTGCAGGCCCCAGGAGTCAGGTACACGCAGGAGGCATGTGGTCTCTCCTCTGTGCAGATCTGAGGTGCTGTCCCTGCAGGAAGGAAAAAATTGAGGCTACCCCACAGCCATAAAGCACATCCATACACACGCTTGCATCTATACCACAAGCACCCTTAATAGAAGCAGCAGGAGGCACGTGTTCTGACATAGGCAAAACAATTAAATATGTGAAGATGATGAGGCATCTGGTCCTGGCAGAGATGTTGAAGCATCCAAGGCTGACTTTTGTGCTCAAAAGAAAGCTACAGTAGAAGCACAACAGATGAGACAAGTTACTGAAGATTTATTTTTGGCCTCCTGGTGTTCCCAGCTATGGAAGGCTACATGTGTGTTGTAATTGCTAAAGGAAGGGGAAATAGTATTTTCTGCATGCCTGCAGACTTCTGGCCTGCAGAAGTCCCTCCACCCAAGACAGTGAAGGTATAGGGGGTAACATAGCATTGTATTAATCCACGGTGTGTTTAACCTATTTTTCTAATAGTTAGACTGGAGACTGGTCCAGAAAAATAAATGCTCCTTTCTGCTACCTTCCCTTTTGCTGTTGCTCTCCCCTTTGCAGAGTGGTTAGCTGGAATCCTCCATAATGAGAGGCTAAGTAGTATTTCATTACGGTCTCAGTCAGCCAGATCTTAATAACATAACAACATAAATTGGCACTTAAGCGACATTTTCCTCTCATAGTTCTGGAAGTTGTTGCACACGATCAAGGCACTGGTGTGTCAGTGTCTGGTGGAGACCTGCTTCCCAGTTCATAGACGGGTCATCTGGCTATGTCCTCACACGCTGACAAGGAGCAAGGGAGCCCGCTGGGTGTCCTTTACAAAGGCCCAAAGCCCATCATAGGGCTCCACTCTCAGGGCCTCACTCACCCAATGGTCCCACCTCCTCATATCATCAGCTTGAGGTTTCAACATACATATTTCGGGGACACAGACATTCAGTCCATGACAACACCTCATGGAAAGCAGAGAGCATCAGCTTGAAGCGAGAACCATAAAAGGGGACCCACTGAGCATAAAAAGAGGTACCCAGGAGGTAAGGGGCTGGGTGGGGCTGGCCCTGTGAGTCCTACACCTGACCTCAGTCCCTAGGCCCCCACTTTGGGGCACTGCAAGCATTCCTTTATAGTTATGTCACCTCAGAAAACGCAGCAAGAAAAAATAAATGAAACAAGACAAGGTGGACTCATTTTTTCTTGGAGCTATTCATCAAGCTGACCTCCACGATAGTAGCTGTACACAACTGTGAAATTCGGTCCACAAGACCACAACTTGGAGTTGCCATTCCATTCTCTCTCGAAAGGTTTGACATTATGAAGACCTAGCTCAGGGCTTCAGATCTGGAAGGAAAGTGGAAAGTGTGCAGAACATTAGGGACCTGCCCTAGCATAACCGAGGGGGTAGGGATGGCGGAGCGGGCCTACAGAACCTGTGGCCCCTGGAGAAGGCCGTTCTAGCTCTTGGGCTGCCATCTCTGTACCCCAGCACCTACTGTAGCTTTCCTGGCCTTGATTCCAACTTGGCAAAGCCTCCGGTTAGGAAAATAAACCAATGCTTCTCACAGCCGCACCCTGGGGTTCACTTTCAGACACAGATGTGTTTTATCTCCTGGTGTTTTTAAGATGTGGCAGGTGCCGGTGGAAGAAAAAAATAATAAAACATTGCCCTCACATTTTTGTTGGAGATGCACCAGGCAAACTGAGCCGTTGGTGCACAGCTGTCGAAGGCATCTCTCCCAGCGTTTCACTCCCAGGACCAAAGTGGTGGCTTCTCGGTTTATTGCCCTGTGGCCAATATCCCTGACTCTTGCTCACTTGGAGAGGGCAGAACAACCCAAACCCCACTGTCCTCCGCTCAGCAGGACCTCTCAGAGAGACTTCTAAGAACTCCCTACTCCCCACAGAAGCACAAATGCTCAGAACTCAGTTCATCTTAGACAGAACTGGCCAAGCACCCCCCTTTAAAACAGGACAGGCAGCCTCCATCTGCTCTTACCTCTGCTTATCTTGAAAGAAGGCTAGACCCAAAGGAAGTTGATGGTGACAAGCCCTACAGGAAGTGGGGGGCTATTCCAAAGGTCAGCTCTGGTCAACAACAAATTAGTGCTGTGAAAGCCCAACCTCACTGCCTAGGTTGATGCTTCCAGATGGAGTCCAGCACATAATCCCTGAGGGACATAACACCCACCCCCAAGGGGCATGCCAGCCTACAGGGCATAGGATATCCTCCATCTAAACACAGCGCAGAGTGCAGAGCACAGACATGGTGAGTTCTGGGCTTGTAGAGTCCCAAAGAAGGTCCAGCAAGGGACATGCAGCTTACGGGGTCCACCTCCTGTTAGCCCCCACCCGAGCCACCTCTGCTTGTAACCATCAGCTACTTTTAAATTTCCATTGCCTTCATTATCATCATCATTTGGTCTGCACAGAGCACCTGTTCGCCTCTCAGTTGTCTGCAGTAGACCCCTCTATTACCTGCAGCTGAGCTTAGGTAGCTTTCTCCTGTTCCCCTTTCTCTCCCTCTGTCATATCATTGCCACAGGTACATACACAATACATAAAAGCATAGGTACACACATGCACAAATACACATGCATACATGACATGTGTGTATGCATGAGACACCTATGACATGACTCAGTCTAAGAGTCTGAACACAGCTGTGCCGACTATGAGCCTATGAAGGCTTGAAGGCACAGTAAGAAAGCTCTATTGACAGCTTTAAATGATCGTCAAAGCCATGTCACACAGAAAGCCAGCCAAGAGCGCTGACTTGCGGTTTCTAAGTGCAAGCTCTTGGCTCCCCCAGAGGGGCCTCTGCCTCTGCTGTTCTCACTGATTTAACCACACATGAGTTAGATCCATGAGCCCCAAGTTCCCAGAGTCAGGATTCTGACCTAAGAGGTAACACAACATATGTGTTGGAACCCCTCCACCCCCAGACAAATGTGGCTCGAGAAATTCCAAATTCCCAAGTTTGTTATTCCCTTAAAAACATTCATCTGGATAGATCATAATTCTTCCCCCAAATAGTCTGAAATTGGATCAATACCAATTGCTGTGAAACACTTGGAAGAGTCATCGCCTGTGAGTAGGTTTGCATTTCATTTGATTGTTTACAAACCAGCTTATCTACAAAGACCACTAGAGAGTTTCTACAAGATTCCAGTGCACTTGAGGGGAGGGAGCAAGGATGTGCACTTTTAAACTTCCCTGTGATTCTGAGGAGCTGCATTTGAGCCACTGTATCAAAGTCCCCTAATTTCTCTTACCCAGATTAGACAGGTGTCTCCTTGTCCACCCAAGGGAAAGGTCTATGGGCCAAGGAGTTTCTGGTGGGCTCTCAGGAAGGGCCAGGAAGACATGGTGGGCAGGCAGGCATGGTTCTTACCTCACATGGGACCTTCACTTTGAGAGAAAAGTCACTCCAGCCACAAGCTCTGCAGCTGCAAGTCTTTGTTCTGATGGACTCAGGCCTACTCTGTGGGAGGAGGCCAGACCCAAGGGTTGACTCCATTTCCAGACACTCTAGGAGACCTGGGCAGACACAAGGCAGTTCTGATAAGAAGCGAAAGAGGATGAAACAATCAGACCCCATCTCTTCGCAGTTACTAAGCAGCACTGTGCTAACACACCTAACACACTACTGAATGCAGATTCCTCTTCCTTGACATGTGATTTAAATAACCTGGTCAATATGGTATTTACTGCTATTTTCTGACAATTCAACAGCTTAAATATCCCAGCCTATCATATTTTACAAGTACATGCTAAATCGTTCGTAAGTTCTAAGCCAAATCCACTCCATGCACATTGGGGCAATTCAAAGTACTGTAAAAAGTTAAGAGAATCTAAACTGTGCTTTACTTTCAGAAATCCCTGTTTTCAGATTTCTCATTTTCAGATCCCTGGTTAGTTTCAGAAGCAGGAAATATCTGATGACATATGTGTGTTGTAGGATCAATGAATATAATGGCTTCACCATTCACCATCATCACTGTCACTGGCTTCATCAATAGACAAGGGACACCCCATAACCACATGGCAAATGTTGTCTAAGTTATTATCACAATCGATATTAGATCACTTCATTGGCATAACTTCTGCGATATACCTTTGGAAGGTGATTGGAAAATTAAAAGTTTATTTAGTCTTGAAAATTGCTTTCCTTTCCTATACTTTTTTCCATTTTTGGCTTTCTTTCTGTCCCCTCTACCATTGCAAAAGTCAAATGTCACTACTTAGATCTGTGTTTCTTGGGTGAACTTCTTCAGTTTCCACTTAACTTCATCTCCTTTGGAATCTCTCCTAAAAATAAAATATTTACGTGAACAATTTTCTAAAGCATATCACTGCCCTCACTTTTTTCTAACATCAGTCTCCAAAGGTAAATGTTTTACATGAATAAACATTATAAGGAAGGGTCTGATGACTTGGAATATCAGAATTAGATTAGGTATTCTTATGAATTGGGAGTATATATGTACACATGGTAGGCAGGACTCTAACCTCTCACACCCCCACAGTCTTGAGCACACAATAAATCCACTACAGATTATTCATGTTCACTCCCCTGCAGTTTCTGGTTAGATTGACATTTTGTTCTGCTTGAAGTGGCATCTTCCACTCCCTCCTGCCTCCCACAATTAGGCAAAAAAGAGTGGAAGGAAATAGGCTTTGCAAGATCATGGATACTCAGACCCCCAGGACTGATAAAACTCTACAGGGGGCGTGCTAGAGAAGGCAGTCTGACACTTAACACCTCCAAAGATAAACACTTCTCAATAGCATCTCATGCACCTGGCTCTTCAAGGAAAATTAACCTAGCCTGAAAACTTTGGTTTAAATGCTAAAAAAAACTGTTCTTAATTCAAGTAAGGACTCCCTTTTGTTATGGCATCAACAGGCTTTAAAGACTGCTTCATGGAAAATGAGTTGTCCATAAGCAATGGTAAGAACTGGAAAAGCCTTGCCACACAATAGGCCTGATGTCTGTAATGTAAGAGAATAGTTGAATAGTGGAGAAATGATAAAGGCTACTGCAGTTACCAGAAAGAGAGGCACAGCAAATACCATGCCCCCTGAGAGAGCAAGTATGTAGGCACCTCCACTTTCTTAGAGCTTCGCCAGTGGATGATGATGTGATGAAATTCCCAACGAGACAGTGACACAAGGCAGATCAACCAAAAGTTCCCTCAAGTAATTTTAAGCTACATGAACTGTTTGTTATCCATTATCATCATCATAATGAGGGTGACCCACAATTAGGCAAAAAAGAACAGGCTCTACAAGATCACAAACACTACCCCCCATCCCCCAAGACTGATAAAACTCTTCAGGAATTGTGTTAGAGAAGCTGGCTCTGTAGGGAAAATTAACCTGAAAACTTTGAGTTAATGCCTCCAAAAAAAAAAATGTTCTTAATTCAAGTCAGGACTCCTGTTGACATGGTGTTAACATGTCCTGCACAGACAAGATAGCCAGGTGACCTACCTGCTATTCCCTTGCCTTGCTCAGGTTATAAAGGGGCTGGGTGTGCATCATCCGGGCAGGTGGACAGGCACATGTTTTGGCCTCCATCTTCACCTTCTTCATCATCTTTAGCATTAACATTGTCATCTCTTCATTGCCGTCATCATCACATCGTCATCAGTACCTTCCTGTGACCTTGATCATCCTCACCACTCCTACCATCATCACTGTCATCACTGTCTTCATCATCACCATCATCCACTATCATCTTCATCACATTCACCATCATCTCCATCAGTACCATCTTCATCACCATCATCTCTATCACCATCTTTACCATCTCAACCCTACAATCATCATCATCAACATCCCCACCACCAGTATCATCACTGTCATCTGAAACATCACAAAAGTTTATTTTCTTCAAGGAATACAACAGTCTTTCTTTCCAAAAGATGGTGTGTAGATGCTGTAGTTATGCAGTATAAGAAATTCAGGCCTTACTAACCAGCAGTGAATACAGTGGAAATTACTTTTTGATCTGAAAGAGCCAGTGTCCATAAATAAAGGGTGAGAGGGCACAGTCATGCTCATCCTCAGACCTTTGTGCTATTTTATGCTTTGGCAGCAGCATGCAGAAGTTGTAGCAAAACCCAAAGGCTCCCAGACTTGTCCTGTCCAACCCCTCTCAGGGAAATGCCTGAGCCTGGGTCTGGAAGCGGTTTCCCGGATGGATTCTACCAGCTCTCCAATCACCGTTGAAGACATTTCTCCCTATCCAGCACTATTTCTAGAATATGCTTTCCTTGATCCACTAATCATGGCACCCAAACACCCCTGTGAAATGTTTTCTGGGTAACTTACCCCACCACTGGAGGCTGGGAATCTCCACCTCTCGGCAGAGGGTCCAGCCACCTCTCACAGCACCTTTTCTTTCCTAGTGAACAGCAGCAAACATATCGTCAGGAAGTTCCGTGGGCACCTGCGCACGAAGATTGAGTCTGGGGAGGGGACAGTGCCCGTGCGGGGCCCCAGCGCGGTCCAGACCTGGGACGGTGTCCTACTGGGCGAGCAGCTCGTCACCATGTCCTGCACAGACAAGATAGCCAGGTAACCTCCCTGCTACTCCCTCGCCTCGGTCAGGTTATAGAGGGACCAGGTGTGCACCATCCGGGCAGGTGGGCAGGCACTTGTTGGACACATTTGAGCATTCTGAGTCAACCAAGGTCTCACGCAGCCACTGCAAGGTTTCAAGCACCCAGGTTCTTAGGTCTGGGCTCCAGTTGAACCCAAGGTGTGTCAGACCGGCTCACAGAATGTGCTGCCTGGCTCCCAAGCACCCTGGTCTGAGACCACCACCCCCACCCCAGCTTCACCTGGATGACACCACTGTCACCTCTCTCCAGGGTCCCCATGTAGATCCCAGGCCTCTTCGTTCACCCTCACAAAGCTCCCCTGCCCCTCTCAGGCTTCTCAAACCTTTCAAGGAAATGAATCCACCTTTGATGTCTCTGGGTGGAGGTCTTCCCATACATACACCATAAGATATTCTTCTTTTAAAAGGAGTTTTCAAAAGCCCCCATCTGAAAATTTTCCACTTGGGGCCCTCAGCCCAGGGGCAGGGTGAGGGCGAAGCTGCTAGAGGGCAGCCAGGTGGCCAGCAAAGGGGACTTGTATGAGAGAGGGCACAGAAACTGCTGTGTGCGACAGATGTAACTCCCAGAGCAGGTGCTTGTGCCACCAGTTGTGGTCCTCACACACAGGGGTACTTTGTGACTTGAGCTGGGCAAAGGCCGGGCCCCTTCCAAAGGCAGAGGAGTGACGCTGCATGGGAGAGTCACCTGCATCTGCACCGTCTTCCACAGTCCTAAAGTCACCCTGATGCTTAGGTGGCCATGGCAAGTCAGTGCTAACGAGTCAGAATGACTTCTGGGAACTTGGATCAATGTGTTCATGTGTGATCCTTGAGCAAAATGAGGAGAGTAGATCCATTACAAATGTGCTCTTGGGGTTCCGCTCACCTGTATCTGATCATACTGCTATCCTGAGATCTTCCACATGGAAGATGGTGGCTGAAACAGGAAGGTGGGGGAGGGAATGAGGCCAGAGCAGTGTGAAGTGTGGGGATTTGGGAAAAACTTTGGAGATGGGGTGGCCAGAGGGGCCTCCTCAGTGTCCTGGTGGTGCTCCCACAGTGCACAAGCGCATGATCCCAGTGTGGCACCCAGCAGAGGAAGCCCCATGTGACAGGCCCCCTGCCCCCTCTGGCATTCAAACACCCAGGCAGGGTGCTTGGAGGGTGGGAAAGGATGAGCAAGCGCAGAGCCGGAAAGAGGGGGATGCCTGTGGAATGGGGGGGCAGTGGCAGGGCCACTGGGAGCCCCAGGCTGCAGGGCAGGCTCTAGGGGAGGCCTGGGGACCAGTCGGCAACACAGCAGACCCTGCAGGACGCTGTCCCTGTTCTCCAGGCTCCAGGCCTCCCAGTTTAGAGGCCACATCAAACCTCAGCTCCTGAGAGGAAGATTCTGAATCCTCCTGGGAAATTACCAAAGGGCTGCGGGAGAAAGAGCCATCTTCTCCCTGGTTGTGATTGCTCAGGCCCAGCAGAGGCAGGGAGGGTCTAATGACGATAAATCAAAGCGCTGATTTCAGCATCAAAGGGAATAGCCTGGAATCGCCAAATAGCTCATCTTTCAGGAGAAAATGTATTCTCCTTTGTAATATTTTCTTCTATTCATGAAGCCGGGAGGGGAGAAAAAGCAGCAATTTTCACGTTTGCTGAGATTCTCTTGATGCCCTAAGATAGTATTGGGTTTCTAAATTAACTCTCTGACTTGCCAGAAAAATGAAGCAAATTAATGCTAGAGCGCTGAAATTCCACTGTCTCCAGGATCTTAGATGTCGATAGACAGCAAACGAAACACAAGCTGCAAAACCTACATTACGTTCGCTGCTTGGCGGGTCTGTGGAGGGTAATGCAGCTGCTCAAAGTCAGGCTTGTTTTTTAATAGTAAAATCTACTTAATAAACAAAAGTCTACACTGCACGCCTCTCCAGGGCCTTGAGCAAGGGCCTCAAGCTGAAGACAGAGCTCCTTCCCTTCCCTTAGTTCTGCTCCCCAAATTGGGATGAGGAGACTAGGGCACAGCAAGATGTGGACAGACCCGAGATTCTTCTGCCAACTCCCCAGCCCCTCCTCCCACTCCACCTCTCCTTATCTTTCTTCGCCATTGTTCCTCATATTTCCTCTGGCATGACGGAGGTCTCTCTGCCTCTGTCTGTCTCTCCCTCTATCTCTATCTTCACCTCTCTTTGTCTGTCTCTGACTGTCTCTTTCTCTCCTGCTCTCTGTATCTGTCTCCCATGATCTGTCTTTCTCTGTCTCTGTGCCCCACCCCATCTTCTGCCTTCTGCCTCTTCTCTCTCTTCAAGCTGGTGCTTAAGGGCATCTGCGCCTCCTCCTGCACTCCCTGGGGATGCTTCCCCCAGGTGCCCCCTCCCCTGACCCCCAGCTCCTTCCCTGACTGAAATCTCAGGAACTCCACTTGCCCAGCTCTGTTTGCTTCTGCTAAGCCTGACCGCAGGCACGCAGCCCTTAGGAAGAGACACCTGCAGGAGTGATGACAGGATGCGGAGGGAACAATGAAACCATGAAACCGGCAGCACGGCTGCTCTGGGTCAGGAGAAGGCAGCTGGCATCCTGCGGTGTCCTCTGGTGTGGACGCGTTTTTGAACCCCACACTCAGCTCCAAACCCAGAGGGGCTATTAGCGACACCCGCTATTTTGGAAGGAGTCTCTCGCTGTTCTGTGCGGGAGCATATGTTATGCAAATGACTCTGACCCTAAGCATCTGTAACTTCTGTTGTTTGTGCAACGGCTTCCGAAGAGACCATCTCATAATGTATGTGTGTGTCAGCTTTCTGTGCTGTGCTGAGGCAAAACTAAAGCTAGCGTTCATGTAGTGTCCAGAGAGGGGCCCTTCCTACAGAGTCGCTCTGAAATGTTGTGCCCCAGGGGTTGACTGATGACCCTGACAGTCTCAAGGCTGGTGTGGCCAGAGGGGTTTGAGGATGAAGAGTCTGTAAAGCAGTGGCCATAACCCACCAACCCCGGGTGACACAGACCCCAGAGACTGCTTGAACCACGCGCCCCTCTGGAGCTGATTCTTCCATGTCAGGCAATATTGAAGCCTATCGTTAAACACAGTCATAATTAGAAATGAAATTGCAGATGCTTGCAGCACCATAAGTTTTTTAATAAATAAATAAATAAATAAATAAATACTACAAATTCACCACTTTCTACTTATTTTACTAGTATTTTTCTCTTGTAGAAATTTACACCCATGTAAAGTGTCCACGTGGGGAAGATGGCACAAGATGGCATCATGTGCTCATTTTCATCCAAATCTGTGGCCTGTGACTTCATTCTGGTCATTTGCAGTCCAGCGGGGTGGTAGTTTCAACACAGAAATTGACAAAAACTACAAAGCTACAAATCAGGACTTTTTCTTTTTTTCTTTTTCTTCTCTCTTTTTTTTTTTTTTTTTTGTTTTTGAGAGCTGATTGTTACTAGCTCACCCCCACATCTCATATGGCAGCTCAGACAAGTGCAGTCGGTTATCCAGCAGGGAGGCGATGACTCTAAGGGGCCTAAGAGACCAACAGCAGAGATGGGGGTGGGGGCACAGGACTGAATGTGAGCATCATCTTAGACTTGCCCTCAGATGGGAATGAATTCCCCATCTCTGGAGAAAGTGTCCTCAACAGCCACACCCTACAAGAACCCAGTCATAAGTGCCTATTGGCCCATCTCTGAGAAAATAGATCAGAAACCAGGGGTCAAAACCTGCCTCTCCCAGCCATACTCACAAGGACTTCAGTTTGCATCCTGCTTTCTGCTCCCTCCTCCAGGCCTGTCAGTGCCCACCCTTCACAGGGCATCTCCATCCAGAATCTTCCCCTCACTCCTGCACTTACCACTGCCACCCTGGTGGCTGGATCATTGCCTGTCCAGGGGATTCCTGTGTTCCTCCTGTCCTGAGGGCCCATCACTTCTTCAGCATCTACCTTGGTGTGGCACCATCCACTGATGGCTGAGACCAAAATCTCAGCATCCCCGGGGGCCCCTCCCTCCCTCGCCTCTCACAGCCTCACTGATGAGTCCCACAAGGCCACCTTCTCATACCTTCAAACCACAGGCTGAACTTTTTGCACGGACGACCTTAGCTCAAGCCTCCTTCTTCTTAGATTTTTTTCTCCCAACAAATGTTGAGGAACCTGCCTTCTGCTCATCACATGTCCCACCATGCCTGCACATAGCAGCCCTGGCTCACCAAAGAACAGATAAATGAGTGGGTAAGTGCATGTGGCCCGGGCACAGAGGCAGTGAAGCCCACCTGTGTCTACCGTACTTAATCGGAAAGTGGAAACCCAGGTGCACAGCCTGCAGGGGATGACTCTAGTGGTTTCCTTGTTGCTGGCAACACTGACCATCAAGGATACAATTGCTAGTGAATGCCCCAAAGTGAGGCTACACCCAGAAGCTCGAGTAGTCACTACAGGGAAGCACAGGAAGACATGCTGTTTCTGACTTTGAGATTGTCCTGCCTGGTTGAGATGCCCTAGGCCGACACCATCATGGGACGCACTCCTCAGCTGTCAGAGAAGGAACCACGCCTCCTCTTTGTGAGACGGGGGCATGGTGACAGTTAGGACAGTCACCACAGACCCCAACCTGGAAATGGCATTTCAAAGGCCTGCCCTCTTCCCAATACCCCACACAGACGACCTTGGAAAGATGAAAACGATACCCTTAGCCCACCCCCCTCCAACTTTTGTTAAATGCTAAAATGTTAAATTTACTGCCTATAGTTTTAGGGCTGTGTCGCTAACCAAATATAACTACAGATTTTATTTCCAAGGGAATGCCCAAAGTTCTTATCCTATATGCTCTGAGCCCACAGCCATGTAAGTTTAGTAATTTAGAAAGTTCTCTCCTAGTAGATGTAGTTTCATTTCAACAGCCTTGGAACAGGAACATTAGGTTTCTTTCATCACCTATTTCATGTGACTTTCATGTATAAAATGAAAATTAATGAATAAAATTG